TTCACAGTTTGGGGGCCTTGGGCGCATTTTAAGAGTGACGGTCAAATCCCACTATTCAATTAAAGTATCCCAAGATTCGGCTGTGGGTGCTGTTGGCTAACGTGTTTTCTTCTAGTCAGGTTCTTCTAGTCATGAGTTCAAAGCTAATGACAGCAAAAACGGGTGGCTCTTGTGTAGTTATGCGTTAATATCCATTAGAAACAAACAAACATACGATAGATAAATACAACGTAAGCTTAATAGATACAAAATATGACTAGTTCTGGACGTTAAGTAAGATTCAGTAACTTCAAATAATCTGAAAGCTTAACATGCTTTTATATATATATATCGAAGCAGACGTGATACATGTCTCAACTATAAAAAAATCTGATTCAGTAATATAGTAGAAAATACAGATAACACAGAACCTGAGAAAGAGAAAAGTTTAAGTCTAATGGCGACAATGGATCCAAATATCTTAACACATAACTAAATTTTCTTAAAAGCTATATCGTTTTAATTTTTTGAGTTTGTGTCAAATTCGGTATCCAAATTAAAGTGAAAAGGTAGAAATAATTGAATTATTAAACATTTCCCATTAAAACAAGGAAAATAAGATCATGATACTGCCGGAAATGTGCATTAATAATAGAAATGCTAAAGTGCTATAACTAAACTCTTAAAACAACTTTATAATGATAACCGTCGTGTGACAGAAGTAGTTAGAACAATCTTATTGCAAAAATATTTACATGTTCTGACTCTTTAGGCAATTACTCACACCGATGTTTCTATAAGTACTCATGTAAAGATTTTAGTGTCATATGTCTACAAACATGACATATTCTGGAAATTGAGCACTTACGAGTAATTAAATGTCAATTTCATCAACTAAAAAATCAGGAAAATAAAATAACAGAATTAACACTCTTGCTTAATTTCAAACATGGATGAGAATTCACAAAAGTAAAAGAAAAGGCTTAGTGATTCATTCCCCAAATTTGTTTATGGAAATAGTTTTGTTATGTATAAAACATGAACATTTATGAAGATCAAACTATCAAACCTATCAATAAGCAACAGTGAGTTTCGGTAGTGAATAAAAACGTCAAGAGTATTAGTTGACTAATACAAATATTATAACAAAAATAAAGTGTAAATATGAAGTTCTTAACCTTATTACTGAACGTCAATTTGTAACAGTATTACAGAACACAGATATTGTTGCAAAGGTAGATAGATAAAACATAATAATCTGAATTTAAGTATATCTACTATAATAAAAATCATAAATAATATTCAACGTTAAACTGGTACACAATTAAAAACATTTTATTTAGGCCTATCTATGGCCTTCAAAACGTTGGCGATTCTACAAGTTTCGACGTTACAACGTCATCCTCGGGAATGAATTACAAGACAATGTTAAAGTACTTATAACTTGTTAGTAGG